TTTAAACTGATAAATAAGTAATTAAAAATGGATGGAGGATCCGCACTGTGGCATAGCAGGTAAGGTCGCCTCCTGTGGTGCCGGCATTCCATACGGGCTCTGGTTCAAGTCCCGGATGCTCTATTTCCAATCCAGCTCTTTGCTGTGTCCTGGGAAGGCAGTAGAAGGTGGTCCAAGTCCTTGGGCCCCTGTACCTATATGGGAGACCTGGAAGAAGCTCCTGGATCCTGGCTTTGGCCTGGCCTAGTCCTGGCTATTGTGGCCATTTGGGGAGTGAACCAGTGGATGGAAGACCTCTCTCTGCCTCTGTCTCTATGTAACTCTGCCTTTAAAATAAATAAATAAATATTTAAAAAAATTTTAAAAATGGATGGACCATTTTAACTCATTTTAAAAGGGATATATTTAAAATCATATCTCTTCAGCGACCTTTAATTCTGAAACATCCTGTGTGATGGAAGTAATTAGCATTCAGTGTATGTTGGACCAAAGCAGTTAGTCTAAAATTAACAGGTTTTGGTAAGGAGATGAATCTAGTGTTTGGACCACTGTGAGAGACAGATCATTTGGAGAAATATGTTTTGTGAATGGTATTCATCTTTCATACTATCATTATATGTAGTTTCATGATTCTGCTTGTTTATAGTGACAGTTAAATTGTGTTTTTCTAGTTTGCCATTAACTAGCTCTGTGACTAAGTTATTCATTTCTCAGAGTGTAAGTTACTGGAAATGTGGTAGAAAAGCCAAAATAAGATGAGCATGTTTTAGAAAGAAAAGTTAAGTATGGTAAATCTGGGGTTTAAAGGATATCAATATTCAGATAATGCTGTAGGAGGAAGTGTTGGCGTTATTAGGAAGATTTATGCTTGGTTAGCACAGATGACATATGAAGAATTGTTGAAAAGTTTAGGCAGTTAAGTTGGGGCCATATGGTAGAGATAGTCTGTATCTAAGGCTTTGTATCTAGGATTTTAAGCTAAATGTGCATAACTAGAAGCTTTTAAATGTTTTTGAGCAAGAGGGTATAAAGAATTTTCCTTTGGAAATACTTGATAGCAGTAGAATGGAGTGACTTATTGAGAAAGTTCTGGCTTCCTCTTTACCTGTTATTTGGTGAAAATTAATTTTTTGTTTTAAAAATAAGCCACTGTGGTTTTAGTGTGAGCATAATTAAGTCTTCGATTTAGTATTATCTTTGATTATAAAATCATTGATTCCTTGTGAAAATCAGTCTTTTACAGAAAAAAGGCTAAATTCATTAATTTCTATTCAAAAGGAATAGTTTTTAAAGATTTATTTATTTGAAATAGTTACACAGAGAGGAGGAGAGGCAGAGAGAGAGAGAGAGGTCTTCTATCCACTGGCTCACTCTCCAGTTGGCCATAATGGATGGAGCTGTGCTGATCCGAAGCCACAAGCCAGGAGCTTCTTCTAGGTCTTCCATGTGGGTGCAGTGGCCCAAGGACTTGGGCCATTGTCTACTGCTTTCCCAGGCCACAGCAGAGAGCTGGATCAGAAGTGGAGTTGCTGGAACTCAAACTGGCGCCCATATGGGATGCCAGCACTGCAAGCGATAGCTTTACCCCTGCGCTGGCCCCAAGAATTTCACAGCTTTTGACACATGACCAGCGTTGATTAGAATTTTATTTTTAATAACCTTAATTTTATATTAATCATTTTAAAACTCTGAATTTATATAATAAAGTTCTGAAAAAAAAGTGTATTATAATGTTTAAAGGAAAGAGAATGGACTTGTAAACTCTGAATTCTGATTTCAGACCTATCACTTTTAGTTTTGTAAGTTGGGGAGATTGGTTCTCTTAGGCCTGTTTCCCCATCTGTGAAATGTGGATAATGGTAGTATGCATCTAGTTTATTGGGTAGTTTGAGGTTTGGATGAGTATCTACAACAAATATGTCTGTCTGACACACTATCTGGCTCCCATTAACCTCTCTATAAATGTTATTATATTGTAAAGGAGAAGTAATTAATCAGTCCAGTATTTCAGGTGATTGCAAAGTACTTTGCTGAATAACAGTTTATTTTGTTTCAGGAGAACAAACTTGAAGGTTGTAAAGTAAGATGAATTGACAAAATTGTGCTTGTGCATAAACATATCCCTCAGAAGAGAACGCACAAGGACTTGGGAGTTAGGTTGATTTGAACCCTGGCACTGTGGCCTCTTAGCTCTGCCATTTAGGGCAAATTGTTGTCTTACCTACTCCCTCACAACTTGAAAGAAGTATACTTTTTTCCTCTTTTCTTTTTTTTTAAACACATTAGGATATGAGATACAGAATGGCAAAGTTGTAACTTTCTCAGGGTTACACAGTTGTAAGTGATGGATCAGGGATTTGAATCCAGGCAGTTCAGTTTCATGATCAGTTATTGCTTTAATAGGAATCTGACAGCTCTCTTTTTGAAGACCCAAATGGTAATCCTTTTGAATTCTTAGAACTTTTAGAAATGCAGTATTTATTTTGTGGTTAATTCTTGATTGAATTCCATTTTAAAACTGATTTTTTTAATTTAATGAGTATTTGGAATGCCAATTTAAAAACTTTTTTATTTGGCCAAATGTCAATAATAATAATTTTTACTATGAGAGATTCTGGTAATAGATAGAAATACAGATATGTTTTTAAAAATACTTGAAATTTCAGCACTAGCTTAGGTGTTTGTTTTCCCTCTAATTTTCCAAATATACTAGCCCTGTGTTGTCTAGATGAAAAAGGCAACCATTTTGTTAAGAGTTAACTAAGAACACATAGCAAGTTATCTTTTTAAAAAAAATATTTAATTGAAAGGCAGTGTGACAGGATGGGAGAGAGATCTTCCTGTCTGCTAGGTCACTTCCTAAATGACCACAACAGCTGAGGTTTTACTAAATCTCCTTATTTCTTTATTTTCTTCCTGGGGATGAATTGCCCATCCTACTTACTGTTCTAGGTTACAGGAGACTTTTTTTAAAAAGATGTGCTTGTTTGAAATGCAGAGTGACAGACAGACAGATGGAGAGAGTTCACTCTTCAAATGTACACAATAACTGGTACTGTGTCAGGCTGAAGCCAGGAGTCAGGAACTCATGCACCTGAGCCAGCATTTGCTGCTTCCCAGACATGTTAGCAGCGAGCTGGATTAGAAGAGGAGGAGCCAGGACTCCAACTGACATTCTCATATGGGGTTCAGGAGTCCTTAGCAGTAGCCTAACCCTCTGTGCCACAGTGCCCACCCACAGGAGATTGTTGAAAACGTACATGATGGAATTCTCTTTACTGCCCCATCTAAGAATCTTTGCTGTACTCTATTGTGCCATGTATAGATTTATCTAAAGTATATGTGTCATTGTGAAATTAGTTCTCTTATGCATCAAGGGGAATTACCCTTGGAAAACAAGTCTATATTCATGATAGCTGTATCTTTGATTTTTATATATCTTGGTCACCCTTGTATAGCTTGTGCTTGCAGATAGAAGTGTCATCCATTTTTTTTTTGTTTGTTTTTTAAGATTTATTTATTTGAGGGGCTTGTGCTGTGGCCTAGGGGGTAAAGCCACCTCCTGCAGTGCCGGCATCCCTGTAGGTGCTAGTTCCAGTCCTGGCTGCTCCACTTCCAATCCAGCTCTCTGCTATAACCAAATCCTTGGGCCACTGCACTTGCATAGGAGACTTGGAAGAAGCTCCGGGGTTTGGATTGGTGCAGCTTTGGCCATTTGGGGAGTGAACCAGTATGTGGAAGACCTCTCTCTGTGTCTCTCCCTCTCTCTCTGCCTCTAACTCTGTCTTTCAAATAAATAAATCTTTTTTTTTTAATAAAAAATTTATTTATTAGAAAGGCAGAGTTACAGAGAGAGAGGAAGAGTCAGAGAGGGAAATCATCTGCCGGTTCACTCCCCAAATGGCTGTAATGGCCAGGGCAGGGCCAGTCCAAAGCCAGGAACTTTATCTGAGTCTCTCACTTGATCACATCCTCTGCTGCTTTCCCAGGCACATTAGCAGGGATCTGGCTTGTATGTGAAGCAGTTAGTACTAGAACTGGTACATATGGAATGTCTGCATTGTAGGCAGTGGCCCAACCCACTATGCCGCAACTCTGGTCCCCCCCTTTAATGGATCTTCTCTGCCAAAGGAATAACTTCTTGTCATCCCTTGGGCTATTTTAAAGTCTTGTCTTTGTCTAGCGTAAACCATACAAGAGCTTTAGCTTCGGATCTTCCAGCTGCAGGAGCAAAAGGACAGTCTACAAGGTTAATATACCAATATATGGTACAGTTGATACTCAGGTTGCCATAACAAAATATCATAGACTGGGTGGCTTCACCAACAAATCATTTTCTCATTGTTTTGGAAACTGAAAACTCAAAGGTCAGGGTGCTGGTAAGGTAGGAATAGGTTTCATTCTTTTAGTTAGTTTTGTTTTTATTTATTTGAGAGGCAAAGAGACAGAGCTCCCTTCCCCTTGTCATTTGGGTAATGGCACATTAGGATTAGTGTCTTCAAAGAACAGTGTACAATGATTTTTAGAAACCTTTTCAACATAGACATCTAGAACATAAGAGAAAAATGCATAATTCTGTGGAAGTGTTCTATATTGAACATATGCCAGTAACAAAAGATTAAAGAAAAGTAGTTACTAGTTGTATTCAAGTTTATCTTTAATTCTTGACTTGACTAGGACAAGACAACTTTACCTATCTGAAAATATGAGTACGCCTTAGCTACAATGTATTAAATGAGAAGAGTATCTTAAAGCTGCTTTGGTCCATGAAGTTTCTTTAACATAAACACATTATTTTGCATTCTGTGAATATTAATCAACTTTATATGATGATTTATCCAAATTACTACTTTTCCTAACTTCCTTTCCATCTTGGCCTTTTCTCTAAAGTTTTGTTAACTTATTACAAACTGAACCCTTGCTTGCTCCTTTTTCTGATCTTTTGTCTCTTTCCAACCTGTCTTTATTTCTGCTGAGGTTATATTCTATTTGTTTTTCAGATGAGACCCTTTTTGCTCTTCCTGCTGCATCTGAGCCTGTGATACACTCCTCTGCAGGCAAGTTCTTTTCTGCCAGACTTTTATCTTCTGTGTATTCTAACTTTAACTCTTTGTGTTAACTCTATGTAGAGTAGTTGTATTTACTAAAAATTAGCATGGTTCCAAGAATGTTTATCTACTGAAAACATCAAAATTTGCATATTATAAGCCGTGTCTGAGGGAAAAATGGGCAGAACTGATTGATAATGAAAAATAAAAAAGAATTCTTGGATCCTTGATCTAAATTTACTTATTGACCATTTTTTTTTTCAGATAGTTTACCTGTATATAGCCAAAAAGCTTTTATGTAAATGAATCTAGTCTATGGAATTTAATTATCTAGTGCCCCTTCTTTTCTATATTAGTTAAACTTTTCTCAAATCTTCTCTTCCTCAAAACTAGTTATGAGTAGCTTTTCTCAATTGATAACACTCGAGGCTCTTCTTAGACTTGATTCATGTCTTTGCATAGTGTGTAATTGTCTCTGTAGCCATGCACATTTTAAAAGCTTACTTAGTTTTTTGATATATAATTGTATATATTTATAGGATACAGCATGATATTTTGTTACATGTATTTGAAGATACTTCAGAAAGTTCATAGAATATGGAATTAAAAGTTTATTTTGGGCCGGTGCTGCGGCTCAATAGGCTAATCCTCTGCCTGTGGTGCCGGCACTCGAGGTTCTAGTCCCTGTCGGGGCGCCAGATTCTGTCCTGGTTGCTCCTCTTCCAGTCCAGCTCTCTGCTGTGGCCCGGGAAGGCAGTGGAGGATGGCCCAAGTGCTTGGCCCTGCACCCACATGGGAGACCAGGAGAAGCACCTGGCTCCTGGCTTTGGATCAGTGTGGTGCGCTGGCTGCAGCGGCCATTGGGGGTGTGAACCAATGGGAAAGGAAGACCTTTCTCTCTGTCTCTCTCTCTCACTATCCACTCTGCCTGTTCAAAAAAAAGTTTATTTTGGTGCAAAAATGTTTCAATCTATAAATATGAAGGGGTCTTCATAAAGCTGAAAAATGTGTATTAGGAAATACTTACGTGTGGATTTTTTTTTTTGAGATATTAAATGTATTTGAAAGGCAGAATAAAAGGGAGGGAGGGAGGAAGGGAAGGAGACAAAGAAGGAAAGAGAGAGATACCTTCCATCTGCCAGAGCCTGGAACATCATTCTGGTCTCCCATGTAGGTGGCTGCCTTCCCAGCATATTAGCAAGGAGCTAGATCAGAAGCAGAGCAGCCAGGAATTAGCTGGCGCCCATATAGAAAGCCTGCAAGGCAAACAGCAGCCTAAACCCTGTGCCACAATGCCGGCCTCTGTGTATGGATTTCAACTTTGTTTTTGCACCAAAATAAACTTTTGTATCAATTCCATTTTCTGTGAACTTCGAAGTATGTATCAAGTATATTGTAGAAAGATCATATCAAGCTATATAATGTATGCTTCACTTCAAATACCTACCATTTAGTTGTGATGAGAGTATTTAAAATTCTCTTTGAGCTATTTGGAAATATACAATATATTATTCTTAACCACAATGCTGAGTAGTAGCCATGCACGTATTTTACTGACAGATAGCTTAATATTTTCAGAAGTGATTCAAGTCTACTTGTTATTTATTAATTAAATTCTATTTTAATTAATTAATTAATTAAAATGCTATTAACATTTCATTTTAGTTAACAGTTAAGTCTTTACTAACACTATTTGATTGAATCTGTCAGAAAGCTTGCATAACTCTGAGAACACTGGCATTTTCTAACTTTCCTTTCTGTCTATGGCCACAGAACAAATTATGGATTTGAAGGAGAAGCCAGGTAACACTGTTTCAGCTGGTCAAGAGGATTTCCCATCTGTCCTACTTGAAACTGCTGCTTCTCTTCCTTCTCTATCTCCTCTCTCAGCTGCTTCTTTTAAAGAACATGAATACCTTGGTAATGTACCAGCAGTATTATCCACGGAAGGAACACTTCAAGAAACTTTAAATGAAGCTTCTAAACAGCTCTCAGAGAAGGCAAAAAATCCATTTGTAGATAGAGATTTAACAGAGTTTTCAGAACTAGAGTATTCAGAAATGGGATCAAAATTTAGTGGCTCTCCAAAAGCAGAATCTGCCATAATGGTAGCAAACCCTAGGGAAGAAGTAATTGCAAAGAATAAAGATGAAGAAGAGGACTTAGTTAGTAATAACATCCTTCGTAATCAGCAAGGCTTACCTGTGGCCCTTACTGAGCTGGTGAAAGAAGAGGACAAAGTTATGTTTCCAGAAAAAACAATGGACAGTTTTAATGAAAAGGAAGCTGCAGTAGAAGCTCCTATAAGGGAAGAGTATGCAGACTTCAAACCATTTGAACGAGTATGGGAAGTGAAAGATGCTTATAAGGAAGATAGTGGTATGCCGGCTGCAGGGGGTAGTATAGAGAGCAAATTGGAAAGTAAAGCGGATGAGAAATATTTTGCAGATAGCCTGGAGCAAACGAATCATGAAAAAGAGAGTGAAAGCAGTAATGATGATACTTCTTTTCCCAGTACACCAGAAGCTGTAAAAGACGGTTCAGGAGCATATATCACATGTGCTCCCTTTAACCCAGCAGCAACTGAGAGCATTGCAACAAACATTTTTCCTTTGCTGGAAGACCATACTTCAGAAAATAAGACAGATGAAAAAAAAATAGAAGAAAAGAAAGCTCAGATTGTAACAGAGAAGAATATTAGCACCAAATCCTCAAACCCTTTCCTTGCAGCAACACAGGATTCTCAGACTGAGTATGTCACAACAGAAAATTTATCAAAGGTGACTGGGGAAGCAGTGGCAAACATGCCTGAAGGTCTGACACCAGATTTAGTACAGGAAGCATGTGGAAGTGAATTGAACGAGGCTGCAGGGACAAAGATTGCCTATGAAACAAAAATGGACTTGGTGCAAACCTCAGAAGCTATGCAGGAATCACTCTACCCTGTAACACAGCTTTGCCCATCATTTGAAGAATCTGAAGCTACTCCATCACCAGTTTTGCCTGACATTGTTATGGAAGCACCATTAAATACTGTAGTTCCTAGTGCTGGTGCTTCTGCAGGGCAGCCCAGCTCATCACCGTTAGAAGCTCCTCCTTCAGCTAATTATGAAAGTGTAAAGCTTGATTCTGAAAGTCCACCCCCATATGAAGAGGCAATGAACGTAAAAAAAATATCAGGAATAAAAGAAGAAATTAAAGAGCCTGAAACTACTGATGCAGTTGTTCAAGAAACAGAAGCTCCTTATATATCCATTGCATGTGATTTAATTAAAGAAACAAAGCTGTCTAGTGAACCAAGCCCAGATTTCGCTAATTATTCAGAAATAGCAAAAGTTGAACAGCCAGTGCCTGATCGTTCTGAGTTAGTTGAGGATTCCTCACCTGATTCTGAGCCAGTTGACTTATTTAGTGATGATTCAATACCTGAAGTTCCACAAAGACAAGATGAAGCTGTGATACTTTTGAAAGAAAATCTCACTGAAACTTCATATGAGTCAGCGTTAGAATATGAAAATAAAGAAAAACTCAGTACTTTACTACCTGAGGGAGGAAAGCCGTATTTGGAATCTTTTCAGTCCAATTTAAGCACCACAAGAGATAGCCCATCACCTGATGAAGTTTTGACATTGACCAAAAAGGAGAAAATTCCTTTGCAAATGGAGGATCTCAAAACTGCAGTTTATGCAAAGGAGGACTTACTTGTTTCTAAGGAAGCCACAATAAGAGAAAGTGAAACATTTTCAGATTCATCTCCAATTGAAATTATAGATGAGTTCCCTGCATTTGTTAGTTCTAAAACTGATTCTTCTCCTAAATCAGCCAGGGAGTACACTGACTTGGAGGTATCCCACAGAAGTGAAATTCCTAATGTCCAGGATGGAACTGGGTCATTGCCCTGCTCAGAATTGCCCCGTGACCTTTCTTTCAAGGAGGTACAACCAAAAGATGAAGATAAAATCTCAGATGAATTCTCCAAAAATAGGTCTGATGTAGCCAAGGCACCCTTACTTCCTCCAGATGTTTCTGCTTTGGACACTCAAACAGAGATAGGCAGCATAGTTAAACCCAAAGTTCTTGTGAAAGAAGCTGAGAAAAAACTTCCTTCTGACACAGTGAAAGAGGACAGATCACCATCTGCTATATTTTCAGCAGAGCTGAGTAAAACTTCAGGTAATTAATCTATACACTGATTTGTGATTTTTTACTTTTATAAAATTTTAACAACAGAACATTCTACACTTTGTGCCCTATAATACTTTTTTAGTGTCTAATATATCACATTGATAATTCTTTATCACTGTCTCAGTTGAAGGTTTTAGTGCTTTATTTCCCCCTCTTACACTAATCACCCTTGCTGTTAACTTTTTCACATGGTTATTCATTAATCACTTTTACATTGCATCATGGCACTAGAAAACACATTTTAAAATTAGAATTGGTTTCAGTATCTCTTCTTCTGGGTGTGGGGACTTAATTGTTTTTCAATAGCGTGAAGAGCCAGAGATATTAAACCATTATTTTCAGATAGATTTTTGTTATACTAGAAATTATTATTTTTGAGGAAAACATGGCTGAAGCAAGCTTTTTTTTTTGTTTTTTTTTTTTAAGATTCATTAATTTACTTGAAAGGCAGAGTTACAGAGAGAAAGAGAGAGAGAGAGAGACTCTCCATCTGCTGATTCAATCCCCAGTTGGCCACAACAACCAGAGATGGGCCAATCCAGAGTCAGGAGCCAGTAGCTTCTTCGAGGTCTCCCATGTGTGTGCAGAGGCCCAAGCAGTTGAGCCATCTTCCACTGCTTTCCCAGGCCATAGCAGAGAGCTGGGTCGGAAGTGGAGCAGCTGGAACTTGAACTTGCACCCATATGGCATGGCGGCACTGCAGGCGGTGGCTTTGCCCACCATGCCACTGTGCCAGCCCCTGTAGCAAGTTTTTAATATTTCAGTATAGTACAGTACTATTCCACTAACTGATATAAGGTCAGGCATTTTGAGTGTAGATATTTTTTAGAAAAGCATAAATTGAAGTGTTTGGGTATGAATTCTTCCAAAAAGTTCTAGTTCTCATCCTCATTTTTTTCTCTTGACTCTATATTTCTCATATAACTAACTTGCTTAAAGTGATATGCACATATATTTTTTATTTTATTTTTGCAATTAAGTTGTAATTTGTTTTCTGTAAAATCTAATATGTTGGGTGTATTTGCTGGATATACTTACGTACTGAAGAAAGAGTAGCATTAGCAGCAGAGAAGTCAGCTTAGAAAATCTTTTTTTTTTTTTTTTAAAGATTTACTTATTTGAAAGGCAGAGTTAAAGAGAGGCAGAGAGAAAAGTCTTCCATCCACTGGTTCACTCCCCAAATGGCCGCAACAGCTGGAGCTGTACTGATCCAAAGCCAGTAACCTGGAGCTTCCTCTGGGTCTCCTATGCGGGTGCAGGGGCCCAAGGACTTGGGCCATCTTCCACTGCCTTCCCAGGTCATAGGAGAGAGCTGGATCGGAAGTGGAGCAGCCAGGATTCGAACTGGTGCCTAAATGGGATGCTGGCACTGCAGATGGAGGCTTCAACCCACTCTGCCATAGCGCCTGCCCCTAGAAATTCTTGTAATCCAAGAGAAGGTTATAAACACTCAGGCATTGGGCTGAGTTTGGAGACAGAGGACTTAATTTCTGGTGGGTATAGATATGCAGGATAAAGATAAGGAGGAAGCATTACAAATGACCCTAGGGGGTTCCAGGTTCCTGGCATGAGCAGCTATATGGATGGCAGTATGAGAAAATGAGATCAGGAGAATGAGAAACAGGTTTAAGGGAAGATAAATTCCATTTTGAATATGTTAGTATTCAAGTACTTCAGGTATCCATGAAGCCATGGATAGTATACTTGGTAAGTTATGGATATTATGAGGGACTTTGGCTGGGTTGTATGTGTATGTTTGTCATGATCTTGACATTGAAATCAAAGCTGCAGATATAAAAGAGGGAGATCCAAGATAAATGAAAGATTTAGCAGGGAAAGAAATGATTAATATTATCATACTACAGAGTCAGTTAAGATAAACCTTTGAAGTTTGTGAAAAAGTACTGAAAGTTTTGGCATGACAGCAGCAAGTGGTTTGAGAAGGCTGAGCTGGCACTGATAATTGAATGTGAGTTGAGCCAATGTTGACTACTCTCAAGAAGCGTGAGATAATATAGAAAGAGCAAGCAAGTGGGTAAGTATAGTTTTTTTTGTTTGTTTGTTTTTGACAGGCAGAGTGGACAGTGAGAGAGAGAGACAGAGAGAAAGGTCTTCCTTTGCCGTTGGTTCACCCTCCAATGGCCGCCGCGGCCGGTGCATCGCACTGATCCGATGGCAGGAGCCAGGTACTTATCCTGGTCTTCCATGGGGTGCAGGGCCCAAGGAGTTGGGCCATCCTCCACTGCACTCCCTGGCCACAGCAGAGAGCTGACCTGGAAGAGGGGCAACCGGACAGAATCTGGTGCCCCAACCGGGACTAGAACCCGGTGTGCTGGTGCCGCAAGGCGGAGGATTAGCCTAGTGAGCCTCGGCACCAGCCAGTATAGTTTTGAGGAGGGGCTTTGTTGTTTTAAGATGGGAGGGAATGAGATCACAAGTTCAGGTAGGGAAACTCGCTTTAGAAAAAAGAAGGGATAAGGTGACTGGCGCAATGGATAGCGCATTGGACTTCTAGTGGTGAAAGAAAAAAGGGATAATACTTTGCTTATAGGAAATGGAAAAGAAATTGTGGATGTTGATATAGGTAGGGTTTTGTGATTGGCAGTTAAGGGAATTGTTTGATGGTTTATGTTTATTCCTTAAAGCAGAATGTTGTGTAAGAACTTACTTAAAAAGGGTGCTGATTCAAGTCCTGGCTGCTCCATTTCTGATCCAGCGCTTTGCTAATGCACCTGGGAAAGCAGCAGAGGATGGCCCAGGTGCTTGGTACCCTGCATCTACCAGGGTAGATCAGGAAGAACCTCCTGGCTCCTGGCTTCAGATCAGCTCAGCCCTGGCCTTTGCAGCCATTTGGGGAATGAACCAGTGGATGGAAGATCAATCTCTCTGTCTCTCCCTCTCTAATTCTACCTTTCCAATAAATAAATAACTTTTTAAAAAAAATTCTTTAACTAAACCTTTTTTCAAAAGTTATGCTTCACAGATTTGTATACACTTCTTTTTTTAAAATTTTTATTTATTTGTTTGAGAGGCAAAGACAGCTCCCATCTGCTGGCTCACTCCCCAGATGCCTTCTTTGTCCCCAAATGGGCCAGGGCCTGAAGCTGGGAATGAGAAACCCATTCAGATTTTCCACGCTGTGGCAGGAACCCAGTCACTTGAGCATCACTGCTGCCCTTCAGGGTCTACATCAGCAGGAAGCTGGAGTCAGGAGCTGGAGCTATTGAACCCAGGAACTCTGAATGGGATCTGGGTGTCCTAAACTGCATTTTAACTGTTAGGCCAAAATGTCTGCCCCTATGTACAATTCTTGCATGTGTCCATGAATAAGAGCTTTTTTTTGACGTGCTTATGACTTAAAATATTTCCTTGTATTTTTATAATTTACTAGATGCCTTTGAGTTTTTTCACTAAAGCTAAGATTTAAATATTTTGGTTAAAATATTTTTAGTGAGCAAATATATTTAGATTGTTTTTTGTTATTTTTGGACTGTATGATGTAAGCAGTTAATCTGATAAAAGCTTAAGTACTCTGAAAATTAAAATGTTTAAAAGATTGATTAGAAATAGTTCTAACTAGAATGCTATTACTAAATGTACAGTGTAACTTACTAAAATAACCAATTATGTTTACTTTAAAAAAGTGACATTGTTAAATTTGTAAGGATTTATTTAGTGCTTATTGTAGAGCCAATAGAGATAAAAAATATTTACGTACCATAAACAATAGGCACCATGACATACAGAGTCGTGAAAAACTTCATTTTTGGCCTTTTAGAGTCCTGAATTCTAATCCTGGCGTTTTCATTGATGTATGACTTTGGACAAATGTTTTAATCTGCTAAAGCCTCAGTAATTTTAGTGTAAGTTTATGTCTGTGTTCCTGAATTGGTATATATGAAATACATGGAATTTGTATACCTTAATTTTTTTAAAAAAATATGTTAACAACTACAAAAAAAGTTTCTCTCAAGGACTTTCAGTGAAGTCAGGGCATCTGAAGTTTATGAATTAATCTGAATTATATGTACTCATTGTACACATTTGAGAAATGTAGAACAGCACTGAAATGAAAAAATGTACAATCATACTTCCCAGACGTAATCATTACTAATTTTTAAGAACGTATTTCTCTAGTCTGTTTTCAGATCACATGTATACTTTGCGAGTATAAGCAAAATAAGTGTTTACCAGGTTGGTGTCTTCATATTAATCATAAGCTTTCAAAAACATTAATTTATATAATGCGATCATTGCAATGTGTTGATTCTTCTGAATGATTTTTGATGGTTAGTGTTTCTTTGTAAAGATATAATTTAACTAGTCACTTTGCTAATGCTGAATCCTTCCATTGTTCCTGATTCTTTAAGTAATGCTGTTGTTCCTAACTTTTATATTTAAATGTATTTTTTGTGTGTTTTAATTATTTTCCATTACTAGAAGTAAAAACCTGGATAAATGGAAACAAGCACATTTAAGAGTTTTTGATAAAAAATTGGCTACCAGAAAAATTGCACTAATAAATATCCCTGTCACGAAATGAGAAAAAATACCCATTTCTCTGTTATCATCAATAATTGATATTCTTTATTTTTTGGATAGATAATATTCCCATATCTCACAAAATTCATTAAGTTCAAAATCTGAGTTGCTTAGCCACTTAGTGCTTTTCCCGAGTCTATGACTTATTCTTCCACACATTCAGTACTTCATATGTTAAAATAATCTCTACCAGTTTGGTAGGGGAAAAGTGATGTTTTGCTATTTTGCTATTTTGCTTGATTGCTAGGGATTGTGAATGTGTTGCATATATTTATTGGCTATTTGTGTTTCTTTTGTGAATTGCTATATATAAATATGCACACACACATATATAGTGTGTGTGTGTAAATCCAAACTCTTGTTAGTTTTCCTTTAATTTTTTTAAAAGATTGATTAATTTATTGGAAAGAGGGTGGGGGGAGGGGCAGGGAGAGAGTGAATGAGAA